TGAAATGGTGTATCTTTGGCTATGTATATTTTCACCAAAAAAAAAAAAAAATGTCGAGAAGGGAGAGGGTTGACATATTGTGGGGTTGTTAACCAATGTCATAAAACAATATGTGTTAAAAAAAAAAAAAAACCATATCAGTTTGAGGAGTGTTCTTTCTGGACCCCTTCAGAGCACCTGGATGGTATCTTAGTCATCCAGTGCTGCTGTAACAGAAATGCTACAAGTGGATGGCTTTAACAGACAGAAATTTATTCTTTTGTAGTCTAGTAGACTAGAAGCCTGAATTCAGGGCATCGGCTCCAGGGGAAGTCTTTCTCTTTCTGTTGGCTCTGGGGGAAGGTCCTTGTCATCAATCTTCCCCTGGTCTAGGAGCGTCTCTGCGCAGGAACCCTGGGTTCAAAGGACGCACTGTGCTCTCGGCACTGCTTTCTTGGTGGTGTGAGGTCCCCCTGTCTCTCTGCTTGCTTCTCGTTTTTATATCGCAAAAGTCATTGGTTTAAGACAAAACCTAATCTTGTAGATTGAATCCTGCCTCATTAACATAACTGCCTCTAATCCTGCCTCATTAACATCATAGAGGTAGGATTTATAACACATAGGAAAATCACATCAGGTGACAAAATGGTGGACAATCACAATACTGGGAATCATAGCCTAGCCAAGTTGACACTTATTTCTGGGGACACAGTTCAGTCCATAACACATATTTCTGGGGACACAGTTCAGTCCATTCAGCTGTTAACTGAAAGGTTGGAGGTTCAGGTCCACCCAGAGATGCCTTGGAAGAAAGACCTGGCTATCTACTTCTGAAAAATCAGCCATTGAAAACTCTATGGAGCACAGTTTTACTCTGACACACTTGATCACCATGAGTCAGAATCAACTCTTACTGCAACTGGTTTGGAAAGTAGGAGGGAAGGAACTGAGGACCTCGTTAAGAATGTAAAACCACAGATTTGTTCTCTAGCCCTCATCTCTCCTTTTCCTCAGCAATTAGGGCTACTGTAACATTGAAGCAAAGGAATTTTCTCTTTGTTACTCTTGGGCATTAATATTTTCTGTTACTGGCAGTTTCTTTTGAATTTCACTTGAATAGCATATGCGTACATGGGCAATCCCTCTGTAACACAGTGTTTTCCAAGTTTGTTCTCTGGCACCTTGGAGTACCGCTCAAGACTCCTCTGCCATCCCGACTAATATGATGTGCACTGGGTATGGTTTGGCACTGGGAAAAAAAAATTTTCTTATGTGTTTTAGCATATATGTAGTTTGCAGTGTGTGTTTGCTTTTTTCAGTTGGAATTTTAGAAAGAAAAGTTCTTGTGTAGGGTAGTGGCGTGACTTTAATCAGAATTATTGCCTGAGGTTCTGAATGTGACTCAGAGTGCACTAGTAATTTCATCTCCTGCTCGCCACTTTTCTCTGTCTTCCCAGGAGGACTTTAAGGGGGAAAAAGGAGAGGGCCTGATCCAAATACTGTGTGAAAAGGAACAGGCTGAGGCTGGGGCTGAGAGGTGTTCCTTGTCCCTGGCCCAGTCAGAGATAAAGCCTCAGTGCCTGATGCTGATCGTGGCCAACAGAACAGGTAAGGTGTATGTCTGTCCGGAGAGTTTGGAAGCAGTCAGGCTGAAGTTAGGGAGGGCTGAGGTTCAGAGGCTCCTGGGTGTAGATCAGGCATCTCAGCTCCAGAGAGCACAGGTGCTGGGGAGGAGGGCCTGACTGACTTTGGGAGAGGCCCTCCTGAGGTAGACTGTGAAAGCATCTTCTGGAACAGCATGGGAGGGTAGAGCAGGGTGAGCTGGTTCAGCTTCTAGATTCAGCAGTCCTTGTTTCTAATTCTAGAACTTGTCAACAAGCTCCAACTTATGAAAAAACACCAGTCTGCCCTGGGCAAGGTAAGTTCCCTGAAACGATGCGTCTCAGAGGGAAAACTGGTTCAGGCGAGCTCACTGGAGAGGGAAAGGAAGTAGTTCTCCTCTCCACACTTACCCTTCCTATCTGGCCATCTCCCTCTGATGGTTTTCATGCTTTTAGGCTTGATCCAAAGGTTTTAAGATGTGTCTTCAGTAAGAGATGTTAGTCTTAAATCCTCGACTTTGAAAATCCCTGTGGTCAGTGGTCTCTTGTGTTCATTCATTCTTGTGTCCCATAATGGGGTCTAGAGCGGGCTGGGCCCCTCTTCCAGGACCCACTTTCCACAAGTGACAGGCTGTCTTTTCTGTGTCCTCTCTTCAAGCTGGGCATCCACAACTTCACTGAAGAAAAGCTTCTGAGCCACCAGAGCTATTCCCGCAAGACCCTGATTGCTCTGGTGACCTCAGGAATCCTGCTGGCTATCTTGGGCACCACTGGCTATTTCCTCATGAACCGCCGCAGTTGGAGCCCCACGGGAGAGAGGCTGGTCAGTTCCGGGGTCCAGAGCAAAGGAGATGAGGATGATAGTGGTCTTCTCGGGAGGTCCATGAATGTCATGCCAAATGTCAAAAAAGCCACTCTGTGCCCTTGCACAGGGATATTCATGTGTGCACACACCATACCCATGAAAGATCCAAAACAGTATACAGCCAACTGGGGAGGGGCACTAAGTGGGGCCAGCCCACCTGCTCACTGTGGTAGGGTTCATGTCATCTATCCATTATTTTTCCTGGGATAGTTTAGCTGGGGCTAAGCAGAACAGGCTGCTAAATCAGCCACACTTGTTTGCAAGTGTACTAAATGCCCATGGGCACTGCCATGCTTACAAGAAGGGGACCTGAGGAAGGGAAAGTTGCTCTTGACGTTTTCTAGATAAGGGAGGACAAGGCTGGGACTGGCTCTGGGGAGTTCATTCCACGCTGGGGCCTGCCAGTTTTCCTGTGGGGGCTGGCTGCTGAGCTGCGGTGGCACGTGTGTGCCTCTCTGTCCTTTCTTCTCTAGGAGCTGGAACCCTGAACCTCTTCAGGAAGAAAGGAATCTGCACCTACAGCTGCAACCTCCCTCCCTCCTGCCCTTTGCGCCCCTTCCTGTTGGGGCCCCTCCCCCACAGTGCCTCCCCCTGCTTACCAGATAATGCTCCTTTATTTATACACTGTCTAGGGCGAAGAGCCTTATCACACGGAGAGCGGTGGAGGCCAGGGCTATAGCTCAGGCCCTGGGGCCTCCCCCGAGGCCCAAGGAAAGGCCAGTATGAACCGAGGGGCTCAGGAGAACGGGACTGGCCAGGCCACATCCAGAAACGGCCATTCAGCAAGACAGCACGTGGTGGCTGATACTGAACTGTGACTTGGCTGGGCGAGGCAAGGCTGGGCAATGTCCTGGGGAGAGCCTCCCCCTGCATCTGGAGACGGCCCTCATGTTCTACCCTTTTTCACTGCACACACCCTCTGAGGCCTTGCCTGAGGCCCTGCACTGTACCAGGCTCAGTGTTTCTCTTCACCTTGGGGAGAGGCAGGTAACGCCCTGCCCTTTACAGATTCAGCACCTGCACCCAGACTCTGGTCTTGTTTGGATGGAGGCGCAATGGGTGAAAAGCCAAGGTCCAGAGAAGCCTCTAGGAGGGTTGCTGTCCTTGCTGCAGTCACGCCCAGGCACCCTTCCCTGGCTCTCACCTTTTCCGCCTTATTACAGGAGCCCCAGGGGAAAGCCCGGCCTTTTCTGGATGACAATTTCCTCCCAGGAGCTTTGCCTTTTACTGTTTCTTCCTTATATTTTCTCCTCTGCTTTTGGGAAACCAGAGTAACACTTCCCACCTGCTCGCTTGTAATGATACAGCCAGAAGAACTGGTTGTCTTCCGCCTCTTCCCTTATCTTCCCTCTTGCTCACCAAGCCCCACCCAGCTCCCTGTCTTCCCCTCCTCAGTGTACGGACGCCTGCACCATGTTCTGGCTGGAGCCGGGGACGGAGCTCCAAGCTTTAGAACAGCGCCCTGTGTCTGAGAGTTTGGGGGAGGGGGTTGGGGTGCACTGATGCAAGCATACCCCTCTGTGGGGGCAAATAGGGGAAGCAAATGGCTTCAGTCCTGGTCTTCTCTCACGAGCCACTCAGGCTTCTTCTCTGGGCTCCTGCTTCATCCTCTGGGTCAGAGTGGACAAGACCACAGCACCAGGTCTTCGAGCAGAGCCTCTTGACCTGTGCTATTAGGAGGAATCCTCTTGCTCTGAGGCTAGGGGTCCCAGCTTACCCTCTGATCTGACGGCCTGGCTTCCTGCTTCCTCCCCAGACTCCTGGGTTAAGCTGTGCCCTCAGCCCCCCAGCAGACTCCTTTCTATCTCTGCCTCCCCTACACCAACCCCTCTCACTGCTTCTCACCCCTGTGGTCAGGGCCTCAGGGCATCTCCCAAGGACCCTCCCCACAGCCATCACCTCTGGGGGGGACCCAGGTCCTGTCCCCGCCCACCCCAGAGGTGTAAGCAGGGATCCCTGGGTTCAATGACGGTTGGAAATAGTAACTTTCCAGAGATGGGAGGATTGGGTGGATTTTTTTTCTGAATAGGAAGTGTGTAAATACTGTAATTAAAGTGATACTGGAACAGACCTGTTGTGTGGCTCCATCCCAGGTGGTGTGTCTGAAGGGCAGAGTGGCCTCCTTAAGACACCAGGCAGTGGGGTGGGAGTGGGGGCGGTTAGCCAGGCGAGAGGCTGGGCTGTCTTGGGAACACAGGTGCCATCCAGGAGGCTGCCCTTCGGCTGTGTCTGCCAACTACCGTCCCTCTTCAGCGGGGTGCCCAGGGAGGCCAAGGGGAAGCTGGGCCTTCTACTCCAGCACCAAAAGCAGGCCAGAGGGCAGCGGGACCTCAGGATGGGGTGGTGCGCTGGGGGCTTGTTAGCTGTACCTTTTGTGTTCCCCTCTGAGAAGGGGCATTTTGGTTGCTGCAGACAAAGTATGCAAACCAAGGGGAAGAAGGAGGGCCCTATGCGTTCTCTGTTATCAGCCTCCCACCCCTGCCCAAAGCTCAGAGCAGACACCCTGAGGAAGGACTGTGTGAAGAACTGTTACCCTAGAGATCTGGCTGCCTGCTCCAGGAGGGGCTGCTTTCCACCCTCAGCGTTAAGACCAGCCAAACTGCAAAAACATGTCTGTAAGCCACTGCCCCCACTGCAGACACACACACACACACACACACACTCCAAACACACACACATACACACCTGGCCATAAGAAGTGGGGGAGGAAGTGCTGCTGGCCACCACTGAGTAGCTTCAGGAAATCCCCCAAGTGTGTAAACAGTGGCAGAGGCGGTTGGGGCCAGACAAAGGTTGATTCTTCCATTCTTATCTGATCAAAGCCAGGCCTTCCCCTTTAGCACTCCGGGGCCCCCATTTCCTTCATTCTTTTCCCCAGGACTCAAGGGAGGCACGGGACAAGGTCTAGAG